TACTGTAAACTTATTCTAATAATTGACTACGAAAATATAAGACCTCAAAAATAATTACATTACATCTCACATTTTCTTTCTCTTTGATATTAAAACAACAATAAAAATAAGCATTCTAATTTAGATTGAGGTATTTTAGTGTTAGCACAAGTATTATATAATGCTTATGGTTTTTATGTAACCTTTCAGATTATATAAAAGGTTGAGTCATAAAATAGTCAAGAGATTACCTAGAAAGAGCTACTCTAGTCTTTGATTGTCATGCAAATAAGGTGAATCCCATTGCCCCGTTTCTTTAGGCCTGTCATTCTTGAAATCAGACAGGTATGCAGTACTGCCCATACCCACCTGCTCTGACAGCCACCCAGCTCCGTGAAGATCTGCCTGGGGTACCTCACAGAAGTGGTCTTCTCTGGTTGGTATCCACCTAGTCTGAGCACACCCAAATCTTCCCAATATCTCATCTATCTCCCTCTCTCAATGGAGTCTAGTGATCCAACTGCCACAATTACGTTGAGCACTGAATTATCCATAGAACACGGTTAGTATGACAAAGAGAGATAAAATGTATGTTACATATTTTTATTTACTTCTTTTTGCAAATCAGAAAATGTTTCTTCTTAGTGGAGGGATGAGGAGGGGGAAAAAAGCCACAACAAAACATTTAAACTAAGAAATGTATACATAATATGTACATTTCTGAAAATTGAATGTCCAGTATGGGTTGTTTGTACAGACAGCTGACGTTAAGGAAGTCCATAATGCATTATTGAAAGTAAAAGCATTTGTTACAGAGAGATGCAGATGCTTCTATTACAGTAAACACACACATAACTCACATATATATGCACACATGCATATGTGTGTGTGCACGTGTGTGTCTGTGTGCATATGTGTTTGTGAGAGGGTAAAAGGAGGAAAGAGACTTGGCTGTTTATATTAGTTACATCAGGAAGATGGAGTTGATGTGGAGATGAAGGGTTGTGTTTTAACATACATTGGTGCATAATTTCACTTATTACTTTAAGTGTATATTATTTTTCATCTGATAAACATCAAATAGGAAGAAAGTGATGGTTTGGGAATCAGGCTGGTGTGAAGATTACAATTTTTACTTCAAGGAACAATTTGTTGTTATTGACTAGAATTTTTTGAATCATAGATATTACTGTATAATTTTTAAAATTTCAGTAATTTCTATTTATATTTCAAAATTAATTGATATCTGTTAAAATTCACAGATGAAAAGCCCTCTTGAAAACATGTATGGAAAACATTTGGTTTCAATATGGCAGACTAATGCACAAAATATACTTAAGTGGGAACTTTTGGGGAGTAGGATACTCAGTTTCCTCTAAAATAACTAGCTACTTATAAGGATTTTGCATTATAAATATCTAACTCAAAATTTTATTTATAATTCTTAAATTCAAATTTCCTTGGCCAAAAGTGATAAAAACTCAGCATATTTTAAAACTAATGTAGGCCCTTAAAGTACATTCTTTTCTATTACTTTTCTTGTTAGTTGATAAGATTATATCACCTTGATCTATTCTTTGGTAAAAGAAAGAAATAAATAAGAATTTAGTGATGTGTATGTATATGCCTATTTAAAGGAAGGTTATATCTTGTTATTTTTACAGGTAAACTTTTATCAATGTAAAAACAAATTACCTGTTTTTATTTTTTTCTTTTATTCATAGCATCTACACTTATTTCTGTAAATTACCATCAAAGTATTTTTCAGTATAGATAAAATATTTTTTTCAGTAAAAAACAGTCAAAAGTCACTTAATACTACACCCTATTTGTTCATGACCAGGAGATTGAGATAGACAGATGATAGATTATGATGATAGATAGATGATAGAGATAGATAGATAGATAGATAGATAGATAGATAGATAGATAGATAGATAATAGACAAATAGATAGATATGATATAGTAGGCAGTTAGAAAGACATGAGCAGAGTAGGAAAAATAGGCCAGGTACAGAAGGTCACCAGGGCAGAAAGCCCCGGGTCCCTAGGAATGAACAGTTGTAAGGTGGGACCAGGCCCCCAGGGTGATCTTTCCTCCCCTAACATATCACTCACTAGTCCTATGGCTTAGCCCCCCTGGTCTTTCATATCGCTGTTCATGCTGTTGGGACCCCACCCTGACCTTTCCTCCTTTAGCATGTCACTAGTCATATAGTAGACCCCCCTGGAGGAGGAACAAAGGGGCCCGTTGTGAACCAGGTTCAGTAACACTCTGGCGCCACTGATAGATTAGGTAGATGATAGATAGATAGATAGATAGATAGATAGATAGATAGATAGATAGATAGATAGATAGATAATATAGAAGTACATATACATATATAAATATATACATAGAGAGAAGATAGATGATAGATAGCATTCATACTGTTTCTCCATGGTTTGGATTTTTCCCATTCATTTTTAACTGGTATTAAGATATCGTCCACTGACATTTATCTTAGTAGGCACATTCAAATACCAACAATGTACTTAAAGTGAAGATTAGTACAATTCTGATTCCAGTGAAGTAGCATTTTCAAAATCTAAAGGTGCCCAATTAACCCAAAATGAAAAACTGTCCTGTCTCTAGGCCACACCGCTTTGTGCATGTCGAAGGCTGACATGTAGTGTCACACTGTCATTGAGGACTGACAAGAACTATATCGTAAGGGTCGTAAGCATGAAACCGTAGTGTTAATGTGTGCATGTAAAATAATATCACATGTGTTACAATGACACCTAAAATGAAAGCACATACTTTTTTTTTATTTTTTATCCTCACTAGAGGACATTTTTTGATATTTTATTCAGATAGAGTGGGAGAGAGAGAGAGAGAAACGTTGACATAAAAGGGACACATCAAGTGGTTGCCACCCGCACGACCCAACTGGGTCCAGGGAAAAACTGCATCCGAGGTACATGCCCTTAGCAGGAACCAAACCCGGGTCTCTCTGGACCACAAGCCATCGCTCTAACCACTGAACCAAACTGGCCAGGGCAAAAGAACATACTTTAAGCACTTTAAAATGAATGAAAACAAAGGAAAGAATACAAAGTGCAGAATGAGAATGAAGGAGATAAATAAACAAATAAATACATGAAAGAAGAATAAATAAACTCCAAAAATAAAATACTCCAATCTTCAACAATTCTAATTTATTTGAATTTGAATTGCAGAGACATCAAAACAATCAAATTGTCTTAAATTTCTACCTTTTAAAGATACCTACTAAGGAAAGAAGACATTCTTTTGGACCTCCTTAAATCTCTTAAGTTTTTTATATTTTAAAAAGCGATTTCTTTTTGAAGAAATTACTATTGATCATTCAAATGTTCAAATTCAAAGGAGAGATTGAGAGAAACTCTAGCAAATTTGTGCTGAAGCATTGTTCCAACACACAGCTATTAAGCACGCATATTCTAAAGTTAGTTTTTAATCTTTCTTTGTAGCATGTACCATGAACCTGGCAGGAAATTAAACTGAACCCTTCTCTTTTTTAAAAAATTTATCTTTATTGCCCTGGCCAGTTGGGCTCAGCGGTTGCAGCATTGGCCTGCAGACCAGAGAGTCCTGGGTTCGGTTCCCGCTAGGGGCACATACCAAAATAAAAAATATATATATATCTTTATTGTTGAAAGTATTACACATGTCCCCTCTTTATAACCCCATTGACTCCTTCCACCCTGCTCCCACCCCCACCCCAGCCTTCACCACACTGTTGTTTGAGTCCATGGGTTATGCAAATATGCATATAAATTCTCTGGTTAATCTCTTCCCGCCTCCCCCTTCCCTCTGAGATCACTCAGTCTGTGCCATGCTTCCATGCCTCTGTTTCTATTTTATTCATCGTTTATTTTGCTCATTAGATTCCACATATAAGTGAGATCATGTGATGCTTGTTTTTCCTAACTAAACCCTTCTTAATTTGTATCAGGTTATTTCTGGTAAACAAGAATGTGTACAGCCCTGGCCGGTTTGGCTCAGCGGTTAGAGCATCGACCTGCGGTCCAGAGAGACCCGGGTTCGGTTCCCGCTAAGGGCATGTACCTCGGTTGCAGTTTGTCCCCGGCCCTGGTTGGGTTGTGAGGGTGGCAACCACTCGATGTGTCCCTTTCACGTCGATGTTTCTCTCTCTCTCTCTCCCACTCTATCTGAACAAAATATCAATAAAATAAAATAAAAATAAAATAAAGAAAGAAAAAGAAAAAAAAAGAGAATGTGTACAAAAACTTTCACACCCATATGCAAATACATATGACCAGAAATATTCTGATAAATGTACCCCTTAGAAATAAACCGTATCTCTGTTTGAGGCAAAAGCTAGTCTCCATTTCTGAACTATCTGAAGTCCATCCCTGTCAAAGGAGATGCTCCCAGTGTTCTGTTTCCTCATGTATGTCCCTAAGTAAAGCAAAAGTAATGAAATTGTAGTAGTATTTCTAATGCATTTCATGAGATTACTAACGTTGTTCCAAATCTATGAACTTGAAGGATCATCTGTTTTTAATGAAAAATAAATATGCCTTGCACTCTATATTTATGTTAATCTATAATTCAAATCTTCTCTATCAGTGTCTGAAATAACCTAAATCCACTTACTATTGAAAAATGTGCTAGCTTTTAGGTTTCAGACAAATGATGAGTCAAGTAATACGGACACTGGTAAAAAGCAAGTCAATTTTTGAAAACAAAGCAAAAAAAAAAGCCTGTGAAAAACAAATGCCCACTTTATAAAGTCAAAAAGAGGATAAATCATGAAAAAAAATTATCTTACACAATCATGTGAAAATAACAAAATTTAATTTTGTTTTGGCATTGGTTTAACCTTTTTGGTTTCTGATCCAAGTTACCCACATTTCAGGTATCTTATTGTTCATTGACATTCATCAATGTATTCCATGACAATACTACTAAAATATGTTTTTACTTCTTTCTTTCTTTTTTTTCTAACTATCATATTTTATCTCATTTCCAGATGTACACAAGGATGGACAGGAAATCGATGCCACATCAAAGTTAACCATTCGACTGCAGATTTTACGTACTCTCAGAATAGTAGGTGACATTGTGACTAAACAAATCGCTTGAACTCTGGAAGTCGAGTCTTGTTGACTGCATGTGTATCTTTCTCATTGGTTTGAAATTCTAGACATATGGACGCTCCTGGGTATTGGATTAGCTCTCCTGATGACTCACATTACAGTCGCCGTCTTGTGTTTTCTTGCGAACAGAAAAGTGCCTGCAAGGTGAGTGATGCCTTTGATTGCTGAATAAAATATACTGTGGCAGAACAATTTCCTGAAACATTTAATTTGCTGCATTTTCCTTTCACTTTATTTTACATGCAGGGAACTTTAGTGTTTTCATACTTTATGGATTGCTCTCTCCGAGCAGAAAGCAGGAGCTACTTAATAATCACTATTCTTTTTTGGTAAAAAAGTGTTACATTGACTTTTTAGACTATGTTAGAATTTTCTATGACAATGAAAAGGAGAGCATAACATTCTCCACAGATGCAAAAGACAGGAGGGGACAGGCATCTCACTTCCTGGCCATGCCCCGGTAGGCTAGACTCTAGGCACCAGCTTTCCAGACCAAGAGACCCATGTGTCAAGCAAGGGACAGGACAGAGGCCAAGAGCTGCTGCAGCTGGAGGAATGTGTAGGCTGGGCGCTGGCATGGCTCAGACTTCCCAGGCCACAGGGCTGGTCAAGATGCCAGGAGCTGCCTACCTATTCCCCGTCTCCCCATCACCTGTATGGGACACGGGCCAGCCCAAGAAGAAAAGTGACTGACTTTCCCACGAACTGAACAAGATAAAGGCTCAGTGTAAGATTTCATAAAACTGTAAGATACTGAAGAAACACGTTATGTGTTGCACGCTGAGTTTGTGGCCAGAGATTTAGGTTGGTTGGCGGCAGCACCGATGTGTCTCAGAGCACAGGATAACTGCGTTCCCCTTGGTGGCTGTCGGTGTCTGCCCCTCTGAATGAATTCTCCTCAGATATCCAGCCTGCAGTCTTGTTAAATAGCAGGCACCAAACTTGATATCATCGATTAAATCAAAATGATTCTGGAACTATGACATTCTAGGAAAAAAGATATGACATTTTTAATTCATTACTATCAAGATCTTACTGATCTATTATTATTGGACATGTGGTTATTTTTATACACCTAAAACATGCCAAACAATGTGGATACAAACTGAGAAGCAGTCTAGACCTAATGGAGTCTGTAATGTAGTGGGAAAAACAGACACAAAGCTACTAAGTGAAATACTGGTCTGTGCTAGAATGTACACAAGTATTAGTCAGTGTTTTCCAAAGAAATAGAAACAATGACTAGGTAGCTAGCTAGATATATTATTGTTTCTGTATGTGTGTATACATATATATGTCTATCTTTAAATATCTTATATAACATAATATATTAATACATTATCATTTACTATATAAATATTCTATTAATATATTACATTAATATATGTTAGATGTTATACATTGATGTAATATATTAAGACTTTTAAGAGTAACAGGTGTCTGCCCGGCTCAGTGGTTTGAGTGTCGTCCCATGTGGGGGGTGTGCAGGAGGCAGCAGATGGATATTTCTCTCTCACATCAATGTTTCTATCTCTCCCTAAAAAAAAGAGTAATGTGTATCAATATGTAAATAATGAGATATATAAACACTATCGTATCATTTAATATATAATATTAAGTATAAAAACTATACTTATTGGGATATTCATTAAATAATCATTGTTTTAAGTATATTAATAGTATATTTAATATAGTATACTGAGTAAGATAAATATTTATTTTAAGGAATTTGCTCATGCAGTTGAGGTTGGCAAGTTTGAAACTTGTTTAGCAGGCCGGCAAGTTGCAAATTCAAGTCAGAGGTGATGGTGCAGGCATGAGTCCAAAATCTGCCAGCACGCTCTCAGGCTGGAAATACAGGTAGGGTTTCTATGTTGCAGCCTTGAGGCGGAATTCCTTCTTATTTAGGAAACTTCAGTCTTTGTTGTCAAAGCCTTTAAATGCTTGAAGGAGGCCCACCCACTTAAGGAAGGTAATCTGCTTTACTTAAAGTCGGCTGATTGTAAATGGTAATCATACACCTACAAATACCTTTACAGCAACATCTAGACTAGTGTTTGAGCAAAGAACTGGCACCATAGTCTAGCCAAGTTGACACATAAAATTAATCATCACAATATGTGAACAAGTTGTCATATTAACACAACGAGCCAGAGTCCTTGGGGAGAACCCTAAATGTCACACCTTTTCCAGATTCCTGTTGGACAGCTTATGCCACTGGGGCTTTGGAGCGCCCTGGTGAGGCCAACGTTGGTGGCACTGTGCCACAGCCAGCCAGAGCCAACTCTCCTTTCTCCATTTCCACCACTCTTCAATACCATACTTCCCTTTTCTCGTAACTCTTCACCTTTTTTCTTTGCCAAATTCTATTTCTGTTTTCTCTTTTCCTATTTGTTCATCTCCTCTTAATATTTGCTCTGTCTCTCTGGCATTGAGAGACATACCTTCTTCGCATCCCTTACTGATGGTCTCAGGGTTCGCCTTCCTACTCTACCTATTCTCCATGAAGGATGTCATCTATTTCCAAGGTTTCAAATGTCATCTATACATAATGGCTTCAAATCATCTCTCTCTCTTACTGAAATTCTGCTTCATGCTCCAGATTCATGTCAGGCTTTCAATTATTTGCTAGACTTCTCCACTGAGTTTCTCTAGACACATTGACTTTAACATATATTAGTCCTCATCATTTCCATATCCTGGAAGCGACCTTTGAGATTCCCTAAATAAAGAATAACTTCATTATTTGAGAAGGAACACTTTGATATAGCTGCTTTTATCATCCCACCAGAACACACCTGAACCCTTATAACAACCCCTCTTGCACAAGGTGCACAAGAAATGGAGTAGAATTGGCTCCATTCTACAAATAAGAGACTCCCAGCATCATGCATTTTAAAGAACTGTCGAAGATTACCAGGAATTGGGGTCAGACACAACCCACTGAGGCTTGCTAATGGAAGCAGAACCATCCATACTACCATCAACCGACCTTTTATTTCTCCAGGCTATTAAGGAGAGGGCTGGAAAGAAAAGAGAAGAGGTCCTTGAAGCATGGTCTTTGGAGCAGTGCCGTGTTTGTAGTGAGACTTTACCTATTTCCCAATGAAGAAGGGAGGAAGGTTCCACCACCAGCACTAATCAAAGCAGCATGATGGAAGAGCCCCAAAATCTTAAAAGAAAAGCACCACTCAAGACTGTATCTTGGCCGGTTTGGCTCAGTGGTTGAAGCATCAGCCCGCAAACCAGAGAGTCCCAGGTTCGGTTCCTGCTAAGGGCATGTACCTCGGTTGCAGTGTGTCCCCGGCCCTGGTTGGGGTCGTGTGGGCAACCACTTGATGTGTCTCTCTCACATCGATTTTTCTCTCTCTCTCCCTCCCTCTCTCCTTCCTGCTGTATCTGAAGATAATGCAAAAATGTCCTCGGGTGAGGATTAATAAAAAAAAATTAAATTAAAAAATAAATTAAAATTTTTTTTTTTTAAAAGACTGTATCCTCAGTCTTTAGTGATCTCCTGAGCCACTCATTGCACATTGACCTAGAGGCCACAAGGTGAAGTTCCTCTTAGTAGGACTGAAGAGAGAGGAACCCCCTGTGAGGAACCAGGCTGGCCTCGGCCCAAACATGAGGCAGACCACAACCGTAGTCACCACCATTCACTATACCAGGGTCTACAGACTGGAGGATGCTTATCCGAGGCCTCGGAGACGTGTCAAGTGTGCGTGACACAGATAGGTCCAAGCAAGTCCTTTCGCAGATGCTTACATTTCATGTAATTTCTTCTCGATGTAGAAAGGCTCATTTGGCCTGCTGCTTCTCCTTTCTCATTCATTCATTCTCCTGTGTCCTCTTCTCTACCCATATCCATCCTAATTTTTATCAAAACAAGTTGCCTTTGGGAGAAGGGCAGGGGAATACCCTTGGCGACCAAATAGAGACATGATCTGAGAATAAATACAGTCCTCCAAATAAGAGTACAAGAAGATATTTGACATAAGCAATATTGAAAGGGGAACAGAAGGTACATCTTTGCCAAATTTCTCCTCTCTTCTTCTCTCTCTCTCTGGCCCCTCTCCCCTCCCCCACTCTCCTTTACCACTTAGACTTTAAAATCACATTAAATTGATATGATTGCCCTGGGACACATGTTAACATATCTATTTGAGTTGAACAATGAAATCAGCCTTTTTTGTCAAAATTATTTTAGAGAAAGCACAAGTGGCAGTGGTCAAAGACCACTACACCGAGTTTAATTTTCCACCCTCTCCACAGTGCCACACCCCTCCCTCGGGAGAAGTGTCACCATCCCCCAAAGCACAGGCCTGGCAGAGCTACCAGCCATATAAATTCATCTGTATTGTTGAAAGTATTACAGATGTTGGCATTTTTTCCCCCTTGACCCCCTCCTCCCTGCTCCTGCCTCCCACTCCCGCCTTCACCGCACTATTGTCTGTGTCCATTGGTTATGCATATACACATATACATTTTTTGGTTTATCTCCTCCCTACCCCACCCACTTCCCTTCCCTTGGAGGCCTGTCAGTCTCATATATTTTTCATGCCAGGCAAAAAAAATTCCTGGTATCCCTTCAGGGTTAGTTACTGAGCTGTCAAAATATTGATATCAAAATAAAGTACACACAGCTATAGCACTATTATTCAGTGTTATTACTTAACTATTTCCACTCCTTATCTTTATATCCCCAGTAGCTAGCATTATAAGCATAATTGGTATCCAATACATGACTATTGAAGACTATCTATACTTCATTGAATATTATCAATACTTCTGAGCATCATCAAAATCATTGTTTTTGCCTACTAATTACATTTAAATAAAAATATTGCACATCAAATTTCTTCAAAAATTTATTTGCATGAAATCATTTAAGCCATAAAGCAAACTAGAATGTTTGGCCAAGAGATGCATAAGTAAAACAACAATGAGTCACCTTGAAAATGCCAAAACTTGGAGGTACACAGGAGTTCATGTAAGCAGCAAATTCATCATCGTCTCTAAATAAACCTCAACCTGAAGATTTTTTATTAGATTTTGTAAAAAGAATCTGTAGCATAAGAGCTCCTCTAGTGACTTGAAAGAAACATTTTTTTTTTTAAACATAGGATGGAGCACTGTATGCACAG